ATACGAGAATTTCTGCCACCTCACACATTTAAATTGCTCCCTTGTATCAAGATTAATGTTGACGTCTTCATCCTCTGCACAACTAAAAAGTAGACAGTGGATCCAGAGAAAGTTTTGATCAATTCCACAGTCGTCTTCGTGTAGTGTAGAGTGTGTCATTTTTATTTCAAAACATTGCAGTGACATCAAATCTTAATGTTCAAATATTGTCTTCCTCATGATAACCAGGCTTGACATATGATAGCAAAATCCCTCAAGCGGTGATTCTCAAACTTGCTACACCGACTGAAAAATATACTTTGCTCTCAATAATGTTCAACGTTAAAATGCAGTCGCCTAGAAGGCATAAGTGATCTTAAAAAAAAAAAGCGTATTTTTTATGTACCGTTTGCTATTGCAATATTATTCTGTTTGAACACGAATACTAATTCTGTGGTAAAGGATTCAATTAAAAATGTATTGCACTTGAAAGTTAAAAAAAAGAGATAGATAGATAGATAGATAGCTAGCTAGCTAGATAGATAGATAGCGTTAAAAAAAAGAGATAGATAGATAGATAGATAGATAGATAGATAGATAGATAGATAGATAGATAGATAGATAGATAGATAGATAAACTGCAAATTTGGGATTTTGCTTAAAAGTTAAATCCAACTGAAATGTACTAAATAGAATTACTGTATTAAAAAATATGCTGTGCATGAACACAAAAAACACACTACTGAATTTTAAGTTATATGTATGCAAACTGTGTGTTTAGTGACAAGCTTCACTCTAATGTGTTTCATTGTATTTCAAATTAATGTTCTTTTTTTCACTAAATATGCATGACGCTATAGTGGAACGCATACTTTCAGTCACTGTCCTAAAACACTTCAAATTATTCTAATCTTAGTTGTTTGGTAGACTGACTCATGTAAGGCTTTTCAAAAATAAAATACAGCGACATCAAAAGAATGTCGATATACAAACCCAATTCCAATGAAGTTGGGACGTTGAGTTAAAAATAAATAAAAACAGAATACGATGACTTGCAAATCACGTTCAACCTATATTTCATTGAATACACTACAAAGACAAGATAATGTTCAATCTGATCAACTTTTTTGTATATAGCAAGTAATTGTTAACGTGTAGCTAAGCATACAGTCGGCATGCATGCGTTCTGCTATTATTTTTGTTTAACACAATGTCTCGACTTCATTGGAATTGTGTTTTTAATTCACTAACATTGTTATAATCCATGTGCCATGCTTGATATGTCAATGCGGACATAATGCTGACAATTACCACTTCAGCTGGGTGTGTTGCCGCCATCAGAATAAAATCACCCCACGGGACTGCAGTTTGTCCCCCAATAAATCTCAGTGTTCGGAAATAATAAAACAACTTCCTGCGTGGTGAAACACCTTAGTAGTTCGCTAAGGCTGGCGGCATAATTACAGAGATGTCTGAGGAACAACAACGTATGACATCACACACCCTTTTCTTGCTGTTGGCCAGTGGCCACAGGCTTTGGTGTTCTGCATCAGGTCGAGTCGTGTTGGACTCTTCTCAAAAGGCCGAATCCAACCACAGTGCGACAGCGAACTCCTTTTCAAACACCCACATCCCCTCTGATAAAAGCCACAGCGGCAGCCATGTGTATTGAATTTAGACCATTCCTGAGGGTATCCTGTTCTTATCAGGGGTCAGATAAGCTCATTTCACAAGCCCTCCACCACCTCCACTCCGCTACCAACGGGACCTTGTGCTGACAAGAGCTGACCTTTTTTTTTTCTACAGTGTTTGTGGTTGAAGGAGAGTGGAGAAGGGATGTTAGTTGTTGACTGGAGCTTTCTAGAGGCAGATATTATTGCTCATTGTAATCCGCAGCCCTTAGATCAGAGAAATACAAATGAGGACAACCTTTGTATTTTTTGTAGGGGAGTACTCTGTACAACTGTACAGAGAGTAACAATCCTGATAGGAAAAATTAAAAAGGTGTCCTTGGACTCAGGAGACCGTGGACAGCAATTCCTGCTGCAACACACTGGTTACCAGTTTTTTTTTTTTTTTTGGGTGAACTCACCATTAGAGTTCAGTTCTTCTTTTTAAATGATGTTCTTGAAGATGGGGGTCCCCAAGAGTCCCATCCCATCAAGCAGCCCAAGGACCCCATTTTCATTCATCATACATAGCCTGTCTGAGCCCTGATGGGATCTCAGACCGACAAGCCTCGAGCGAGATACTGGCAACACAACAGAGCACTCATAATTCAGAGCAAAATAACTCTAATTGCCCCACGGGGATAAATAAAGTTTTCTGAATCTGAATCTGAATAATTGCCCTTTATTCATTTCTCAAGGATAATCCTCGCCTCGGTTGAGCCTTTTCTACTCTTTGCGTCATTTTGCCTCTGATGTTTACATAAGGTATGTATCTCATTCTCCTCCCCCTTCGCCTTTTGCGTCGTCGTGGAGCTTAATACCCAGCATGTGTGTTTGAACGTGTGTCTGAGGATTGCGCTCTTCACTGGAGCTGCTACGACTCAAAAGCCCAGGTGACAAAGGCCTCGTGAATGTCTGACTCACAGACAACTGTCAGCATTCAATGGGCCGGATTAAGACGGAACGTAGTACCCAACAGAGACTGACATGTTGACATGTTCTACTAAGTGCATTTCAAGGTGGATTTAGCCTGTTTGCTCCATTGTAGAGGAACATAAGCGATAGAAACGCGAAATGGCTCGCCTATTCTTGAGACACAGGGTGAACTTTACTCCTGCTGTCTGAATTTGGACTGACACTGGGTGACGCAGGCTGCTGTGAATCCCGAAGAGGTTCAGGGGTTTCAGAGAGCCATCCTTAACCAAACAAACATACTGGAATTTCTGCCATTGTTGGTGCACAGGGTTGAGTGACAGGGCCGCATAGCAGAGGAACCTGTCAGCAGAGACGAGTCGGGGTCAAAGTGTGACCACCCCTGGCGACACAGCTTCATATGAAGGCAAAATCTGTGCAGCAGTTACCTGTACTCATCCTTGATGAACACATCTTGCCTTCATTGTGGTGACCGTCTCAATTAAACAATTCATTTCATTTCGCCAAAAAAAAAGTTGTGCAGTTAATATCAAACTACAGAATGACGACCAAAGCATGCCCTGCTCAATGGAATAAAATCAAAGCGTATGAATGTCAAATTGTAGTTTTACTGGGAATAATCAGAGGAAAGAATTCTTGAAAACCCCTACCCTGGAAGTATTGAAACAGTACAGCACGTATTGGCCATTTTTTTCACATTTGTTTTGACTCTCAGACAACCTATGTATCTGTTCACACAGCCTGTGCTATACGAATCGAACTATAGCTTCTTATCTAACATGAATTTGAAAATTGTCCTAAACACAAAACTGCCCAATCAAAAATATATTCTTCTTTCTGCAGTTTGAACAGTGATTTTAGGACTGAGTACATGCAGCATTTCTAAGTATTATCGGGCGCTCTCTGGTTTCATGATTCAACACAATCTTGTTGAGCTGTTAAACTTGTGATATGAAAAACATTTGGACATATGTTAATTTCACTGCCTAAAGGGGACCTTTTTTACTTGGTCTACTGACAGCATACTTTCTGTAATTTTCCTGTGTGGACTTGGCATTTCCTCCCCACGCCTGCGTGGGTTTTCTCCGGGTACTCTGCTTTCCTCCCACATTCCAAAACATGCCTGGTAGGTTGATTGAACGCTCTAAATTGTTCTTGGTTGTAATTGTGAGCATGAATGGTTGTTCGTCTATGTGTGCCCTGATATTGGCTGGCAAATAGTTCAGGGTGTTTCCTGCCTACTGCCCCAAGACAGCTGGGATAGGTTCCAGCATGCCCGCGACCCTCATGAAGATAAGCCGACTAGAAAATGGATGGATGGATGGAGAATTATCATCTTTCCACATGCCAGGTACAAGTCCTCATTGAACTGTTGAAAATGTTCATGTATACATGGAATATGGTAATCATACATTCCATTTTGAAGGCATGTACACACACACAAAAGCAATGAGTGCACATCACAACTTTAATATGGACACTATGCAGCGTTATTAATTTACAAATAGATTATGTATAACAAAGCTTTCATGGAAAATGACATTTCTCTTTTTACATTTTTTTCTTTTTACTTTAGGTGGGCAGCCAGACGACATCAGGCCAGCACTCCCCAGTTTTGAGTTTTAGTGCAGGTCATCATTAGCTGGTTACCTGAAAGTTGAACCCCGAACCACCGTGCTGCTCAGAAGGGGCTCACTACTCATGTGTTGGATGACAGAGACCACTCAACGATGTTCAGTACTCCTCCAATTTAAAATACTTTGAACACACATTTCCACGTTGTGCGTGTGAGCACAGTGGTACTGTATGTGGATACCGTGGACAGCTGAGGGGAAATGGATGGTAAAAGCAAACAGACATGAAGGTTACACCGACACACTGACTTGACTTCCCTTCGCCCTAACCCAGGGTCTGTGAAGTGCCTTGTTAAGCACGGGAAAAGAGACTCAATTAGCGACTCAGTGCCATGTTGCTTTCCTGGGTCCAGTGACCATCGTTACTCCCTTCATCCGAAACCCACTTGGCCCCTGCCGTGCAGCAGCAGAGCATGTGAGCCCTCTGTCCTCAAAGTGATAGAGTCAAGCTGTTCCTGCTGAGCGGAGGTCAGGGTTCTTCAGTCAGCACTCGGCCTCTGAACAGAGCACACAGGAATCCCCCCCCCCTCCTG